TTGCTCTTTGTCCCCAGTTCTTCTCTGATCCAGGGAGTTAGCTCATGTTAGGTACTCAGCTATGGGCAAATAACCGCGAAATTGGGTCAAAAACTAGGAAAGTATAGAAGTAGATTTTTATGGTAAAAATACAAAAGCTATAATTTTTTTTTTTTTTGAATATTACCAAAAATACATTTTTGTTAAATAAAATTAACAGCAATACATTTAACTCTCGATGAAAAACAAAACCTCTTTACAAAACTACATCAATGAAAGCTGATCGAAATCACGGTTTCTTATGAAGAATACACGTTCTATTCACAGAAACCTACCCTAAAGTTCTTGTCAGCGATAAATAACCCATTATTCTGTTATTAAATCTAGAGTATCATGTAAACATTACAAAGCAATATAAGTATACATTAGAAATAGAAAAAAAAAACTAAATCAGTATTGCATTTAAATTGTAATCTCGTCAAAGAATTCATTCCATCATGGATTATTTACCGAATGGAATGAGTTCTTACGAGATTAGAATTGAAATTGAATGCTGTTTTGGTTTGATTTATTTTGTTTTACAGCATATCAACCTCAATTTAATGCCGACAAGATTTTTACTATACATTCTTATGAATAGAACATGTATTCCGTGTAAGAAATCAGTTTGTAGATCAGGTTTCATTGATATATTTTTGTAAAGAGAATTTTTATCGAGAGTCAAATATCCTGCTGGAAATTTCTTAAAAATAATTTCTTGTAATAATTTTTTTTCGAATGCAGAACATATACACTGGTATTATTTTTAGTCTTTAGTATTCCAAATGTTTCTACTTAAAGAAAAATGTGATAATTGTCAAAGGAAAAAATTTATTCGTTTACAAAAAAAATACATTTATAAGTTAAAACTATGTTTAATATTAACACTATCCCCAAAAAGTGTTGCTTTTAAACGTACATACAAATTTTAATTAATATTGCTCTTTTTGCGGTAGGTGTTCCTTTGAAATGTCATTTCTGTTATTAAATCTAGAGTATAATGTGAACATTACAAAGCGATATAAGTATACATTAGAAATAGAAAATGTTTGACAAGAAAATATACAAAATCGTAAATATTTTAAATATATTTATGACAGTTAAATAAACATAAAACAGCAAAAATGTTTTCTTTATTAACGTCTTCAGAGCTTTTCCGTTATAAATGAAATTTAAATAAGTTTCGTACAGAAAGAATACGAGAAATAACAAAAATGAAGTCCGAAAAATAATGCGGTGTCTTCTATAAAATCAAGATGGCGTCACTTGTTGCAGACGAGTCGAAAATTTAAAGTTACGCATGAATGTTAAAAATCAGATCATTTAAGCCATTATATAACGCGCTACGGGTTCTTTTTATTTGACGAGCGAATAAGCTCCAATAACCGACACCTACCTTTCGCAACTTCAAACTAACCTGTCTGGGAGAGTGACAGAACCCTTCTCTTCCATTATTATGCTCTCATTTCACCATTGTCATAATAAATTTCTGATGAAAAGTTTTGAATTGGTCCAGCTTTTGTAAAAGCTTAACTTCGTCAAGAGGAAAACTGAATTTAAAATGTGAAGAACCGGGAAATTCCGAGAAAAACTTGCCGGCTATAATCGGCACTTGCGTTGCATCTCTAAGTTGTTGACAGTAAAATTCTTCCAGGCTAGCCGAAGATCTGGGTCCGATGTACGTCCAACTTTGAGGAAATTCTAGTTTCGCAAATACCGTTTGTCCAGCGTGTGGCTTGGTACAAGTGATGTAAGGCTGCGAATTAAAGAAACTAGTGACCAATTTTGCAATTCTTGCGATTCGTTTAATAATATCTTCTTTCTCCTTGTGGAATTCTTTGAAAGAAGGAGAATCAATTAAGGGCCGGTGGGAGAGAAGCATACTGAGATATATTTGTTGTATAACAGGGGGATTATGGGTAAGTTTGATTAGGGTATCGAACACCTCTTCATCGAAACGAAAAGTATCGATGTATGTCACTGACATACCTGGTTCACCAATAATACTCTTGTTGGGACTGAAGAAAGAAAGTAGCTGAACTGATTCGAATTCACTGCCCATTTCTAAAAGAACCTTCCTCATAGAGACGAATGGTTTTTCTTCTGGGTCATAGATGTCTAACTGGAAGTTTTCTATCGCAAATATTATCAACCTGTTCTTCTTGGCGAAACGAATAATCGTCTGTAATTCGTCAATATCGTGAATATGGCCCGTTGGATAACCTGGATTCTGCACAAATATACTCATCACAGGATGCGGACTTTTTTCAAGGGCTTCAGATAGATCAGCAATGTCCAAGATCCAGTTGTCGTCCTTCTCGTTCAGGAAATACGTAACGGTCCTAAAACCGGCAACTTCGATTGAATCAATGATTGTTGGATAGGTTGGACCCGGAACAAGGATAGCGTGTGTACCATTTGCATGGCATCCAGGTAGCAAAGGTAAGATGTGAGTGAGGGACATTTCCATGCCAGCGGCCATCATTATTTGACCGGTATCAGAATAAGGGATATCGTCTCGTTGACTAATGAAATCTTTAATAATTTCTAAAGTGTTTTGAATACCTTGTAGAGGGTTGTAACTACCCAAGCTGTATCCGTCGCACCAACCTCGGAAAAAATCGGCCAGGCGATTTATATCGTCGGGTATGTCTTTTGTATTTTTTAATTCAGGAAGTATACAACAAGTTAAAACTTCTCTGATGAAAGTGAAAACATGAAAATTATCTCCCAACGACCACAGTTGCTTCGCTTCTGATTCCATGTTGGTCAAAATGGATTGAAGAAAATATTGGGCTTTTTTTTTCTTTTTTCTTTTTTTGTTATAAAAATATGTACACGGAGTATTGTACTATTTTCTTTTTAAAAATGATTGTATTTCACAAGTTGATTTCATACGAATTAAATCTCCCTCGAATGGAACATCAACAACATGTTTCGAACACTCGGAATTGAATGTTTAAAAGAAGTGTCTTTTCTGGTAGATGACACTTAGTGAAATACAGAAAATCACTTTAGATCCTGAAATATATAGATGTACATTTACGTATATAACAGACGGTTGGTGAAGTTTGTCTAATGTTGATATTGTTTTACATATATATATATATATATATATATATATATATATATATATATATATATATATATATATATATCGTAAATAGGCGTTACTTTGAAACGATAACCTGATATAGTTTAGAACAGATTTGCGTGGTAATATATAAAAAAACGTCTTTAACCTGAATACACATGTATATTGATGAGGAAAATATGATTTAGATACGGTACTCTCCTCCTCCTCCTTTTTTCTTCTTCTTTTCCCTCTTCGTGTCGATCTGATATCTCCGAATACCTGTTACCAAAGTTGCATATTCATGAAGAGAATGTGGTTTAAATACGAAACTCTTATTATTGTATATTAGATTGTAGGAAATGCTTCTCTTTCTCACGCTTTCCCTCACTATATATTAATATTTGATTTCGTTACTCTTTACTTTCGTTCTTTTTATCTGATTCTCTTTTTCTCTTTCACACACACACACATATATATATATATATATAATGACTTATGTTCGACAATTATTTTAAAATATCTTCTGTTGATACGTTATTTTATAGAGATAATCTATCTAAGTAAATGTTCCGTTATTGAATGAAACAGAATTAATTACATTTACGACCTTAATGTTCGAGAAATTTTCGGGGAAAATATACGTTTTTGCGACAGGAATCGAACCTGTACCACTAATGGGAACTATCATTTTATCTGAAGTGTTATTAACCATTCAGCCACAAAGAAGAGTCTGTTTAGCAAATTCCAAATTCCTGTTTATAAACTTACAATTTCGACGCAATGATTGATCGAGAAAATTAGACACATGAAAAACTAAATAAAAAGCTTAATTGCAGTGCCATATATATATATATATATATATATATATATATATATATATATATATATATATATATATATATATATATATATATATATATATATATATATATATATATATATATATATATATATATATATATGGGGGGTTCATTAGAAGAATTCTCATCACAAGGCAGAAAGCACTGGACGGCTGTTTCGTCCTATTTTTATTATAGCCCCGCTATATCGAGTGTATTCAGTTTTCCTTTTCGTCACCCGTTGGTACAGTTGTTACGAAGCTTGAGTTGTATCGGAAACACTCCGAGTTCGAATCTCGGTAGTGGATGTGTACTGCTGATGTCCCAAAATAGCACCGTAAAGTGCATTCTGTTGAGAATTCTTTTAAACTGGATGAATTGGGTATAATGATTTGCCTAAGTCCCCAAAATTCTATTAATTTTGTGTGTGTGCGCGCGTCTCTCTCTCTCTCTCTCTCTCTCTCTCTCTCTATCTATTTATCTATCTATCTATCTATATATTTATATATATATATATATATATATATATATATATATATATATCTGTATGTATGTGCGTATATATATATATATATATATATATATATATATATATAAAAATAAATAAAATTTTAATGTATAATTTTACATTATATTTTCAATGTTAGAGAAACCTCCGCATTCTGTTCGTATTATTGTTCCTCTAGCATGAGATTTTGCGGAAAAACGTAGATTTATATTATAAATTGCCTATTTCCCAAGGCTTAATCCCCGGAAAATCTCCACAGTTAGGAATAGATATGCTTTGCATGAGCTTTTTAATGAATGGAATGTGGAGAAATGGATGATTTATAGCTGAATTTCTCTGGTATTTTAACCATTAAACTTTTCAACTATATTTTTTTTTACCCCACTTCAAACTTTATCTCCAAGTTCCCAACATTGATTTGTGTAGGAAAACATGTTCCACTTATTCAACCCTATAACTACCATCATCTCCTATTCACAAACAAAATTTAGCGACGAAGAATAATTGGTACATGTTTTCCTACACAAATAAATATGGTATGTTGACCCGCGGTTCTTAAGTCGATATCCTGCAAAACGGTTGACCGATATTGACTATACAGATGACATAGCTTTCACTACAGACACCATTACCAATACCATATTTATTTCACATGATCTAGAATATTCTGCTAACGATGTTGGACTCTGTTTCAATGTCTTATAATAGACTTCAACCAGCAAGGCTTCCACAAAATATCTTTTTCTCAATGTTGAAGACAGATGGATTGAGGGTGTCGGAAGATGCTTTAAAAATTGTCGTCCATTAGATTACTACTGTACTGATGCGGCATTCACCCTGGGCGGATTGAGCCGGCTTCTTCCTGTTATGAGAAGAAGATTCTTGGGATAAATTACAGAAGTAGGGTACCCAGGCCTACTCGGATAACGTTCTTGCTTGCCGCGGGGTTCCCACAGACGCAGAGACAGGAACGACCAGAAGCCGCCGGTTACCGATGCAGACGCTCCTTGGATTTTCACCAGAGCCCTTGTTAGCCGGCGTGTGCGTCAGACCTGTCCGCCTTGGGTGGCCCTACCAGGAACGAAGTTCCGGGCGGCATAGCTCTGACACTACCGTTTACACCCCCCCACCGACTCTGAGGTAAGGGTTGGACTTTGGGGGGCTTACAGTACCAGGTGTTCCCAAGCGGTCCCCCATCTAAGTACTGACCTGGCTCTACGCTGCTTAATTTCGGTGATCGTACGAGAACCGGTGTCTCAGCATGATTTGACCGTAAGCCGTCCATTAGATTAGTAAATATTTATTCATATCTTCTTTAATTAGCTATGCTAATTTACAAGATTCATTTGAAAATTTATTTCAAATTACATCATACAAATATAACCAATTAATGGTAAATTTTCCAATAGAAATATTGTTTTTGATTCAGAGGATGTTTTTCTTAATCTCTTCTTCACTGGCTAAAGAAGAGATTAAAAAAAATATATACATCAATTCTGAAGCGACACACTGGCTAGCTTTGATTAACATCACACAAAGTGGAATTTGAGAACCTGCGCTTACAGTAGGTTTTTCAGATAACGAACTGCAAAACGTTCTAATAAGACGTTGGAGTGAACGAATTTACCTGCATATTCGCTAGGTGGGAAATGCGCAAGTTGAATTAACTACTAAAGAATAATATACTGTATATGGACAAGAAGCAAGGCACACGCACATTATTAAACTATCAATGTGCCATCAAATAAGACCTTCATTTACTTCAAATGGAGATTATACTTAACAATTTGACTATATTGTCAGCTTGGAAAATGCGGAAAAGCTTCGTCGCTTTTTGAAATAATGACATAATTTAGACATAGAATAAAACTTCAACAGTAAGTACAAGACAGAGTTCTATCTTCATAAAGAGAAATGTGAATTCTTTTTACGTGCTAATCCTATCAAAATAGCCTAGAAAATAAACGCATCTTGGGTAAGACGATAAACTACATCCACGTCTTGGGTATGACGATAAACTACGTCCAACAGCAACGCCTCTGGCCAGGATGTTTGAGGAGCGTTGAACCGCCTCTTAACTGCTTGTGTTCCCAGTTCCACCCTGACCCGGGGTGGTAGCACTTGTTAGGGTCTCAACTATGGGCACATATTTAACCCCTAAACTGAGGTCAAACTACTATGAAAGTTTAATAATAGGTCTTAATACCAGCAATATTTTTTGAGAAAAAATTATTACCAGCAATACGTTATGAACAACAACACATTTTTGAAGAAAAAATATTATCAGCAATACATTTTTGAAGGAAAAAATATTGTCAGCAGTACTTTTTTGGAAAAAATATTACCAGCAATAAAAAATCTGGTCGATATTAAATAACCCATTGAAGTTTATATGCTGTAAAACAAACCAAAGCAAACTAGAAACTAAACGAGATATCAGCGATTGAAACTGAAACAAATTTCACTATTTTGACACGTTTTCGCAAGAAGTAGAAGTCATACGAGGATACATTATTGGCAGCCACAATCTTAACAGTATAAGATCTGCAGATGACATACTGCTGATAGCAGGCAGAAACTACAAAATCTCTTACAGAAGGTAGCAAATGAAAGCGAAAGGAAAGGACTAAACATGAACTACAAGATGACAGAATGCATTATTATCAGCAAAATGATGAGCCCAAAATTCAATTTACAGACTGGGGATAGTTAAATTAATCAGGCACAAAAATTAAAATATCTGAGAAGTGGTTTAACGGAGGTCGGAATGTGCGACTGAGATCCGAGGGCTTATCTGGATGGGCAAAGATACATTCCAAAAGAAAGCAGTGTATTAAAAGACAGAAAAATTTCATTGGAAACAAAGAAAAGAGTACCGAATTCTTGCGTGATATCAGTCCACATGTATGGCATCGATTGCTGGACAATCTTCTCAAAGATGAGGAAGAGACTTGTAGCAATGGAAATGTGGTTTTACAGAAAGATTCTGAGGATACCATGAGCCAAACATGTGATCAACAGCAAGGTTTCGGAGAGAATGGAAGCGAAAAGGAAACTTA